CCCCAAAACCCCAAAACCCCAAAACCCCAAAACCCTCACAAAGATCATTAATTTAGAAATACAGGAAAAATGGAAAAATTCAGATACTTAAGAACACTTAGCTCTATGGTCGACCAGAAGTATATAATCCTTCTCGGCTTAATTCCTACTGAAAAAGGTATACCTTTGGATTGAGATGTTGTTAAACCTGTTTGTAGATGGAGAAGAAGTTGAAATTCCAGCTATTGCTAAATTACAGAAGAAAGAATTCGAAATCGAAGAGCTCGTGGACTCAGAGACAAACAAGCTCAAGATAGAAAAAGCAGATGAGTTCTTCAGGTACCCTCCTATCTTATGTTTAGGAATGATGCTTTTGGTAAGCATGCACTGGACTTTCAAAATGAAGAAGAATATCTATTTGAATTTTAACCACTCCATAATATCTACAGTAATTTTTGTCAGAGAATAGGAAACTGAGCCTAATTCAATAATTTAGTGAAATACAGAGCACTTTTCCCTGATGCAAGCATTATTAATTCAGAGATCATATCTCCTGCTCCGGAAAAGCTCATTTTGAAGTATACTGAGCAGGATAAAGTATTCATTGAAGAGACTCCTGAGGTGTATGAGAAGGTAACAAAACCTTTCTTTGATAGGTAGGATTTCAAAAGGATATCTCATATAGCGTACCAGAAAGCTCAATCCAATGGGTGTACAATATCCTAGATGGCACAAAAGAAGTAGAAAATAGAGTAATGGACCACCCTGTTGAAGAATATAAAGATGATGCCTACATTCTAATGAAAGATCTCAAGTTCCATGAAGGAGACATTAGAAGTTTGTACCTCAACACATATGTATACAGAAAGGATCTCAAGTCTTTGAGAGATCTTAATGAGACCCATTTGGATATGCTTGAAAGCATGTATAATGATGGTTTAGAGGCTATATCGGAGAAGTTTAAGGTTGCTAAGAATACGATAGCTGTATTTATTCACTATCTCCCTACTTATTATCACTTGCATATACATTTCTGTCATCAGAAGTACATGGAAGGGTATTCAGCTAATATTGGGAAATGAATCATGCTGAAAGATGTCATACAAAACATCAAACTAAAAGGTATAAATTAGTCACTCTTACTCTAACCTGACTATAGGTTCCTACTACCAAGAAGCTACCATGACGATCACACTTGGACAAAAAGAGAAGCTGTACTTGTTAATGAAAGAAGCAGGATATATTATCGAATAAATTAGCTTGCTATGATCTTGATTCAATCTTTATTCTAAATTTTGGGGTTTTGGGGTTTTGGGGTTTTGGGGTTTTGGGGTTTTGGGG